ATTTGGATACAAATTGTAAACTCACTGTCTGACCCATACTCCGGAACAGTAGGAGGCGGTAATGCTCCTTTACGTTGGTTGCCAACCGCCGTTAAACACAAAGAAGAAGAAGAAGAAGCTGTTCCCTGCTCCTCTGGCTGTTGTCGGCGTACTTGTCAGATATCGACAAATTCTACACTACAGACCGGTTGACAGCGAGCAATAACCTGGCCGATTCATTCATCTTTACACCACCTCACAATCGACTCAACGGTGAGTTATTGGTTTGTTTTGTCACAATGAAAATGCGGAGCCGCGGTCGCGCATCCTAAGACGCCGGTAAGCTAATGCTAGGCTAGTGACAGGAAGTGCAATTACTAGTTTTATTGATTGAATATTGTTGTTTTTGTTTATCCCACTATGGCCGAATGTTGAATTAACGTATCAAGAGTTGAGAGAGTGATTTGGTTTTTGTAGTTTTGTCCGTTTTGGATGTTTTTTGTTACTTTTTGACTAAATGCCAAAACGGCCTATGAGACTTGTGAATTGAGTTAAACTCCCTTTAGATTATTGAACTTGTTGCGCAACACCTTGAATTGAAGTTTGTTTTCTAAATATTTGATTAACTTTGGATAATGTTTCGTAGCTTTATGGCTGATATGCTTTGATGGGACCCATGAGAATGTTTTTCTATAAGAGTGTTTTGAATGAAATTCATAAGAGATGATGGTTTATTGATGTACGAAACATGGCATTAATTACTTGACTTGTTATTTATGGATTTATTAATTTTGTCACAGCAGTAGAATGCTGTTTCATTTTCTTCTGTGAATGATGATTTACGTTTTTGACCTTGTTTAGGTTTTTTCTCCCGCGATCAGCCCCGATCAGCGCGGGATGGCGAGCCACCGACCACCGCTACAGCGCGGTAGGAATCGTGAACCTATGGACTGAATTAAACTGTTGACACTTGACCGATCAGTGTGTTAAATGTCTTAAGAATGGCCTTCACATATTTATATTATTTTTTTCCTTCAAGATGTCGTTGCGCCAATGAGAGTTTGTAAATTTGTGCAAAGACTGAATAAACATTAAATTATTAAGTGTGTGTGTGTGTGTGTGTGTGTATTATCAACATGAAAACAACACACACACGTTTAATGTTGCCAACATAACTCTGTCAGAAACCCACTCAGCTGATTTACACAGACGGAGTAAAGAAAGCTGCCGTTCATGTTCACACAGCAACAAACTGTTTAAATCCAGCTGTCATAAACCTTTAAAACACAGCTGCATATTTACGCTGCAGGTTTACTCTTATTTCAGTAACCTTACTCACCTGTGGTTAATGAACGCTCAGCGCTGAGGTCTGACTTCTTCTGGAGGTGGAAAGTTTTAAAAAATGCCGAAACAGCGCCGGGAGACCACAGTGGCCAATAATATATCACATCCGTAGTGGTTTAGCACTACCATAGAGAATGCATGGGTGACGGTTTAGGGTCGTTTAGCTAAACCACCCCACGGGGAGTCACGGGTGTAATACCGTCTTTGGCCACAAGGTGGAGAAATATACACGTACATCAATGGTGTAGAGCGCCACCAGCCCAAAGTGATCATGGACAAAAAAAGGCACAACGGTTTAGCGCAGTGATTCCCCGACAGGGAGGCCGTAACTTTTTCGCTTTAACCCACTTTTTCGTCAGAGGGTAGGGACACCCGGATTATTTTTATTGGCTCCTTATGAATAAAAAAAGAATAGCTAAGAATTGAGACAGAACTTTTATTTGGCTCTCAGGCGTCCACACATACAGCTTTATTATGGAGGCCACTGAGATTCAACCACATCTCACATTCATCAGCCTCTGTATTTTTTTCTGTGTCACAAATGTAAAGAGAAAGTAGAACAGACATGAACAACGAGCAGAGACACCACAAATCCTTAAACGCGCTCTCAGTGCTGAGCTCATCACAAACAGTGTTTCTAACAACCGTGTAAACACAAACGTCACCAGCGTCCTCACGAATGCCGCTCCGGTTCCTCTGCTAGTCCAGAGTGTAGATGTTCTCCTGCACCGGCCTCCTCATGCGGATCTCGTAGATGATGTGAGGAGGTTCTTCAGAGGAGAAGCTGCAGAGTTACAAACAGCGAGTTACTGTCAGAGCGAGCCTCAGCACTGCAGTAATAACTTTCTGCGTGCTTTGTT